ATTAATGTCCACAAACTTCCTGTTGTTACGCTCTCCTCTTTGAAGACATCACATCTCAAACTTAGGGGGTAGAAAATCACAGTGAGCTATTCTGCCAATGTTGAATGAATACACCAGTACAACCCTGCAGCAAACATTTCATTTCTATGAAGACTCATTTCAGTTTACATGGTAAGCATACAAGTGTAACTGTTGTAAGCCTCCCAGACAGAGAACCTTCAGATTATGGGGTGGCACTGAAATGGAAATAAATACATGAATAAATAACAAGCTATTCCCAGATTTATGACCAAGTCAACATTCCTAATAAAATTGAAAGATAATTCATCTAAATATAGGCATTCCATGCACTGGATGCACAATAATAACAGAGTAAATCCAGCACCCAGCCCAATGGACCCTCTTATGCACCCCCTTGACTAAACCAGTGTTTGCAAGCTGGTGGACATACAGCAGAGAGCAGTATCTTCCACCACATGGGAGCAAGCACCAAGAAGGCCGTCTTTCATGTTGCCCCAAGGGTGCCTTGCATGGGAGAAGGTCCCAAGCCACAGGTCACAGCCAGCACTCTGCATTTTGCCATGAAACAGACCAGTAGCTCGGAAAGCTGTTGGAGAAAGGGAGTTCTGTGCTTCTTCTGACCTGTCCCAGTCAACAGCCTGGCTTCAGCGTTCTGGACTAGCTGGAGTTTCTGAACAGTTCCTAAAGGCAATGCTGCATACAGCATGGTACAGTCATCTGCACAGGATGTAACATCAGACGCTAGGAAGGAGCTTCACTGGCGCATTAGTCTCAGCTATACAACCAAACTCCTGGGGTGCTGAGCATACAGGTTCAAGGCACGAGGCAGATATGTATTTGTTACATTCGTATTGCATCTGTTCTCCAAAGAACCCAAAGCAGCAAACATGGTTTTCGTCCTCTGTGTTTTATCCTCACAACAACAACCATGCGTGGTAGGCTAACCTGAGAGCCAATGAGTGGCCCAAGTCCTCAGGGAGCCCCACAGGCTTCTGAGTCCTAGTCAGGTTCTCGAACCATACATCACACTGGCATTGTCAGTAAATCTCCCTATTTGAAAATGGATAGTTACAAAGTATTGACCTCTGTTTACTTTGCCGCTAGTGGATGTTTTCCTGTTCACTTAGTCCAAATAGTTGTTTACTCCCCAAAGCAGATCTCCAATGATTGAAGAAGAACTGATTTACCACTGCAGGGCGTTTTGTACCAGATTTTAAAAAGCAGGCAAGTTACAAATGTGCTGCATTCATTTACATATGAAGGCGCGCACCCACATTGCCATAATAAATGAGGAAGTTCTGACGGGGAAAGGCTCTGTGAACGGACCCTATGTTTATTGCATGGGCATGTGACTGCTGAAAAACACACCCATGTGCCACTCATCTGACAGCAATGAACTTAAATTTTGATAATTAAAATGATCTGACTTGTCCAAATTTGGGGTAAAAAACACCCTGTGAATCAGACCCAACTATCTGCCTCTCTATTCATCTAGTTCTTCGTTCTTTTCTTTTCAGTCCAGTAGCAAGGAAGCTCACCAGTATAATACAGCAACTGCTTGATGCCTTCCATTTCCAAAACATTCTGCTACCCTTTACATTCTTAAGCAGGCAAGTCATCAATTCATTCATTAAATTTCTCTCTCACCTTTCCATTAAAATGATGCTCAGGGTGACTAACAGTAAAACACAGAACAAACAATAAAGTCACACTTAAAACATATTTATCCGGCATTACTGTGAAACATTAGCCTTCAACAGGCTTTCCTCTCAAATTTACAGATTATGTTATTTTAAAAAACAGATGGACAAACTGATGTGTGAACATGTCTGCACTATCACTATTGCAGCAGGTTAGAACAAGCCAATGAATTATCACCAAGAATGAACACTCCAATATGTCGCTTTATTAAGCACCCACTCCCCCTAAACCCTCCGCAAATACATTCACACTTTACCATGTAGTGACATGGTCTTATTAAGAGGTCTTCATAGCATCTATAAGCAAACCAAACTTATTACAAAACCTATTAAATAATAAGTTTCCAAGGAGACATCCTTTTAGTACAAAATATGCTATAATTCTCTATATTTATATTTCAAAAATACATGGGAAACCTTGTAATTAGCAATTATCCTTGTAATTAGCAACCCAATGTAAAGGGTTAAGTAAGTTCACATGCTCTATGTATCTTAGATAACAGATTTTTCATATTACATTATAATTGTGTCAGTTATATATAGCTTTTAAATGAATATGGAAGAGCATTCCAATCAAACCATTAATGAAATGTCTTCGAAGGTCACCAATTCTTCACAGTGCTTCTATCTTTTTGGCATTAACCACTTTCTTTCATACATACGAATGGGAAAACTACATTTTCTACTCTGGGAACAGATTTCACATATACTCTGGAAACACAAGGACATGGATCCCAAGGTTAAAGCTGGGATTTCCACAAGCCTCATTATTCAATACTCTGGATAGCTCCTGGTTAGAGATGGTGCAGATATTCTATCAGTTATGCTCTTTCTCCTCACCTAATCACTCCCTTGTAGCTCAAGGAAATATTGCTCTCTAGTTGACTTTCAAGTGCCAGGTAAATGTATAATGTCCAAAAACCATTACGCAAATCCCAATTGCCCTCAGTACAAGCAATCCTTCCATTACCACTCCCAACCAGGTTTCCTGCTTTTTTTAATCAAACTAATAGCATAGCTGTTCCAAAAGTATCCAGGGACAAAGCAAAACTACACATTCCTTGTCAGACAAAAAGAAAAAGCTTTAGCATACATATAAGATTAAGCTACCAAGCAATACACATCTGAAGTAAGAGGCTGAATCTTGTATGCACACACTTCTAAACTTTCCATGATATAATGAAGACAGAACCTCTCTAATTTTCAGAGCAACCTCCACACGCATATCAACAAACATGCACAACTGATGCAAAAGTGCCCTGTTCCTTTTTGGAATTGTTTTTGTGGTCCTGGTGCATTCATTTTCTTGCCTATCTGTGTCACAGAGCAGTAGGCTTGGGTGTGAAGGGAACACGTTTTAATCAAAGAACCTAAAATGCCGTGAGCGTACCCTGTACGCACGAAGGGCAAGAGCCACTGGGGTTGCTCCACCCCCTTGCCATGGCCACTATCCAAAATCAGATATATAGGTCCCAGCTGTGAACCAACTACAACAACAGAAAGAAACAGGCAGAGGAGTGGAGCTGCTGGATGTACTTTACTGTTTTTGCTGTCTTTTAATCATTGCTCTATATTACATTCCTGGTTCTGCACACCATCCAGAAAGCATAGGTCGAGGAGGGGCCATATAACATGGTAATTAAATAAAATAAACACCCAGATCAAATTTTAGGCGCTTACACATATATACCACTTTGCAGATAACGGATCCACATATGGGTGTCTGGGATGCCCAGGGGTGGAGCCAGGTGACATTTCTATAATTACTCCCTCCTCCCATACCAGTCCATGCTCAGAGACGAACAACTGTGCAGGGCTACAGTCAAGGTCAGCCGTGTTGCTTCTATCCCTACCGTCTTCCAAGAGAAAGGATTCTTTCTCCATCACTTCAAAATGAAATGCAGTGCATTTGTTTGCCCTTCTGAGAGAGCTGACTTTAAATTAACAGACAGGTGGGAGGTGTTTGTATTTTTAGATGGTGGCAATTTTGGCACCAGAGTGAAAATAGTATAGTATGTCTGAAACTGATTTTATCCGTTTCCACATAGTTCTCCTGAGACAGACGGCAGCTGCGCTTACTTCTCCCTTCACAGAGTAAATGCTGCACCATGATTATAAACAAGAAACACCCCCAGAGCGGGAGCTGGGAAAACAGCATCAAGTCCCATTTCACACTTCCTGTGTCACCTGCCAAGGGAGTTTTCCCCACCCCGTGTTCAGTGTACTGTGAAAATACCTGGTGCCTAGAAAACTTCTAGCATCCTTGGAGAACAGAACTTCCTTCTTATCTCGCATTTCTGGAAGGCGGTGGGAAATTCTCTTTAAGGGCAACTCTATCTGAACTTCCCTCTGAAGGTCAGCAATGCATCCTCACCAGACAAGACTGTCAGGAAGTCGTGCCTGGACATCTTCTCTCTAAGGGAGGCTGCCATGAACTTAAGCCGAGGTGGTCATTTTGTCTGGGCATGATCTTTGGAGCTGACTGGGAGTAAAATCTACTCCCTTCGGGGGCTCTGTGGAAATGCTCGGGTAAGGCTTGCGTTACAGACTTGAACAGTTTCTCATCTATTCTGTGCGGCTCAGAAACCATGCAAAATGATCCAGAAAACGATGCAGGTCCACCAGTGGTGCCCGCCCTATGTAGTCGCCCTCTTGCCACAAAGGAGGGCCATTCGGACTCAGAAGTCCAAGAAGGCGGGGAGCGTGTAAAGCTACACACGCTTCCTAGAACGGAGCCCCGCTGAATTCAAGGGGAGTCGCTTCTGAGAAAATACGCACAGCATTGCTTCCGGAGCTGGGCTTAGTCTGTACGGAGGAAAAGGCAGGAGGAAGCCGGTACTGGAGCCCGGCACTTTGTCCTACCTCCAGTACCTTGCCTGCTCCTTACCAAAGGTCTGACGGGCACTTTTGTGGGAAGGAGAGGGAGAAAGAGGGACCTGGGTTTTTTCTTTTTTTTAAGCAGGAAGTGCATTTCTTGCCAAAGTACAGACACACTTCAGCGCTCAGGGCAAGCGCCGCATGCTTCTTATATAGAAAATTATACAGAGTGGGTTGGAGACCGGCAGAGGAGGAGGAGAAAGCAACATTTCATTTTCCCAGTGGTCTCAGCTTAGTACAGCGCCTTGCACCCTCTGGGCACTCGGAAGAGGGAAAAAACTATGCCGTTCTTAGGCAAACCTGGCGCCTTTTCTCAGGCACATCAGCCTTCCAGCCCTGCCGCTCCCTAAACCTGAGCATCCCCCAATCCACGCGCCGTCCGTCCATCGAGGCGCCCCTCACCTGAAATCACTGTACGGGTGGATGATCCAGAAGCCTGCAGTTTTAACCCTTTCCTGCTCCTTCTCCACCGCCTTCTGGCTGCCGAACATGCGGAGGGAGAATTTGTTGACCCCGGGCTGCAGCATGGAGGTGAACTGCCGCTGCATGAAGCCGTACTGCCTCCGGGAGCCGTCGGCGTCGTCGAAGCCCACCATGGGCTCCTCGCCGCCGCCGCCGCCGCCGTCCACTTTGAAGCACACCGAGTTGCCATGGTCCTTGAGGCTCCCGCCGGCGCCCGGGCTGCCCGGTGCCTTGTCCGCCGCCGCCGCGGACGGCTTCGCCTGGAAGCAGGCGTTGGCGCTGGGGCTGCCGTCGTCCCGGCTGCCGGGCGAGGAGCTGGGCTTGCCGCCCTCCATGCCGCTGCCGCCAACCGCGAGGAGAGCGCTCCAGCCTGCCCGGCTCCTCTCGGCCCGCGCAGAGGAGCAGGGCGAGGAGGCGCGAGCGAGGCGGACAGGCGAGCCGGCGCCCTCTTGCAGCCGCGGCGGCGGCGGCTACTGCTGCTGCTGCCGCCCGCCCTTCAGCGGCAGCTCCTCGTCCGCCTCTGCCGCTGCTGGCATTGCGAGCTCAGCGCACAACTGCTCTGGCGCCGGGACCGACGCGAGATGGGTGGGGAGCGAACGGCAGGCGAAGCGGCCTCTCCCGTGGCGCGCCCTCTGCCGGTGCGAAGGCGCGCCGCCCGCGCTCCGCCGTCGCTTCCCTTGCGTGACATTGAGCGACCCGGCGGAGCCCTTGAGGGATGCTTGGGAGGAGGTGGACGCAGGAAGGGAGCAGCTGCTGGGCCGGTGCCAGCGCGTTACTGCCCGGAAAAAGACGCGAGGAAAAAGGAGAGAGGGAGAAGGCGAGAGACGGGCAGGTGCGGGGGCTCAAAAGAGTGCCCGCTTGCCCCTGTTAGGCTCGACTTATTCATCGTCGGTTCTGAGCCCACCCCAAAGCGGGAACCGTGTCCACCAGAAGATTAATGGGGAGAAAAGGCAGTTCCAGTCCACACAGCCTAGGCGCACACTTGGTATTGTAACTGGAAGAGAACTGTAGAACCTCTCACCCTAGTGTGAAAGACTGTGGCCAGGTGAGCTGGCTGCTTCACCCAGGCTGATGATGCTGGAAACTTCAAGGACCAGCTTATGCCTTCCAATAGAGAACCATCCTGTGTAAAAGAGGTCACGTATGGTTTATTGTTGGTTCTGTTCTTTTCCATGATGCTCCTTCCCACAAGCAGTGGTGCACCAGGGTTGTCCCCTGGGGCCCTCAAACTGTGGCCCCTCTGCCCTAGACCACCTGGTGAGCACCAGGTGATGCAGAATCCATTTTATTCCTGTACTTATGGTCGGCTATGATTCAGGTAAGTTTAGTATGCAAAATTGCACATGCTCAGTTTTTTTAAAAAATCCAGGACTGGAAAACTGGTGTTTTGTTCTAATGCCTGAGGAATGAAAGAGCAGTTTCCATACATGCTGTGATGGGGCACATGGAAAAACAGTTCACCACTGAAACAATTGCATGCCTGTCTAAAGTCAGACTACATCAGATGATTGTGGACAAGGTCTAAAATGACCCAGCTGCATAAGAAGGTGACTGTGCCACACGCACAAGTTCCTGCTGCATCTCAGGGTGGCTTCTGGCATCATGGAACCCTTGCAGATATTCCAAGGCCACTGTGTGGAAGGGTGAACACACTTCCTCTCAGTCACTCCAGAGGACAGGAGTAGATTCCAGGGAGAAGATTCCAAGTAACCAGTAGGAGGAGTATCCTTAGGCTAAGAGCTGCTCAACAGTGCAACAATCTGCCCAGGGAGCATAGGCACTCTCCTTCGTTGGAGATGTTTAGTCTCCCATCTGTCTGGAAAGCTGGAGCTGTAGATTCTTGTATTGTGCAGGAGGTAGGACTAGAGGACCTCCAAGACTCCAACTCTTCAGATGGAATCTAGATTGAAGTTGCCTCAGCTGTGATGGTGGAAATGGACCTAACATAGCCCCTGGAAATGCTGCACAGAGGGCTTCTCTAGATATTATGCACCTGTGATCTCTTCCAGAAGTCTGTGGATGCTTTACACCCTCCCAGGACCTCTCCTGAGTTTTCCAGCCATGTTCATGGCTTGTTTCAGTGCATGGAAAGTTTGGCATTTTCCTAGATGGCAGCCTTACATGCCGCAGAAGCCTAGCAAGTTTTTCCAATTTTGCGTTATATTACAGCACCACCTTGTTTTGTGCAAAGGACAGACAGAGAGGAAAACCCCTAGAAAAACATTGTGTGGAGGACAGTCTCATGTTTCCTCTAAGGAAGGTGAAAGGAGGCCTTGGCAATGTGCCAGGTTGTCTGCTTCATGAAAGCAAGCCTGGAGGCTCGGAAGACCCTGCTGAATGCTGAGCTGTGCTGTGAGAGGGCAGCAAGAACACCCACTTTAAATCAAATCAGGTGGGAGTACCTTCTGCAAGAGGGCTCCTTCTTCTCCCAGAAGACAGATCCTCCATCCAGTCCTGTTGTTCTGTGAGTCCTGCTTCTACTCTCAGTCCCAGCCATCTCAGATGCATTTCAAGTTGCATTTGTTCTGTTCACAGAATGCCCTGCATTTGCAGCGTTTATTGCCAGATGCTCAGCAAGCCTCTCCTGCTTCTGCAGGCCTGATCAGGAAAACAAAAACATAAGGCAGAGGAAGCCTGCCAGGGTCCAGTACCTCCTGGGCTATGGACACCTATCCTTCTAGGGTAAGTGGCATGGCTTGCTTGCTGGCTTGCTGTCTGCTTTTACCAACTTCAATCCTTAACCCAGAGCAGACTTGGGAATTTTTTAAAGGGCAATCTGCATCCAGGCCTGCCCACATGTATATGCTTCTGGAGTTGTAACTCGCTGCTGCTGCTGCTGCTGATGATGGTGACATCTTCTCCTGGCTCTTACTTTTGACAAACCACCAGTAAAGTCAGCATTTTAGATGTCTGGATATATACTTCCTGTTTCGCCATAGGGTTTTGGCATGGTTGACCTTCTGTTCCCTATCCCTTTCCCTCTGTGTGTAGGAGAACAATGCAGTCAGTCTGACTAAGGGCACCTCTTAAGAAGTCTTTGCTCCACTGTGTCTGATTTTCATATTATCTGGCAGCATGCCAGATTCACATCAAGCTTGCTGTCAAGATTCCCATTTGGATGCCAGTCTGAACTTGCACCACTGAATGCTACTAATCACTTCCTTTGCAGTACATGCAAGGATGGCTAGAGAGAAATGGTTGTTCATTATGCCAGTGCGAAAACAGAAGCAGAGCAAGTGTGCTCTTAATTCAGCAGAAGGCGAAAATAAGTGAGATCAGCACGATGATCCGTCAGTCAGTCTGGGTTAAAGGGCCAGCAGAATGATTTGGCATAAAGAAACCTTATGTATTCTAGCATCATGCCACAGGATTTACGAAGCAGACAGGAAATCCCCCTGCGGATCTATGTGGTGGAGCCCCTGAAGGCAATTCGGGAATTTCAAGTGGTACAGAATGCAGCAGCCAGAACCAGGAGTATGGCTAGATCATTTAAGGAGTCACAGTCCTGGCACGTAGGACACAAAGCTGCGCAACATCTGCATAGGGTAATTCACAAATTTGGAATTCATTATTATGGTTTATTTAAATTCCCAGAAGGCAAAGCCAGCCAATTAATTTCTAATTCAAATAGTCTCAAATAGAACCAGTTCTTCAATTAATTGGCACCTTGACCCAATGGGAAATGTTATCCTTCCCATACTTACTTGGCCTGATGAGGAAGATGTGGGGTGGGGGTGGGGGTGGGGGTGGAAGACCATGGGAAGGGAAAGGAGGGAAGGGGAAGGAAATGTCCATTGGAACTAATAGAGGGTCTGGGATCTGTGGAATAAATCTGGGGCATGGAAATCAGTTTACACCTGCACCTGCACCAGGCTGCCAAGTCTCAGATCGCTGCTGGACAGCGTGTTCTTAAGACCAGCAGGCACCTCTAGGCTGGTGCAAACCTTTGGAACTCCATCCCAAGGAAGACAGGCATGGTTTCATCACTGCTGGGTTTAAACCAACCAAGCAAAAAACCAGAAAGACTCCCTTGTTTCGGTCTGCACTCCATGTTCATTTGTTGCCACTCCTCCTAATGAACTTACCTGTTTAATCAAAATTGTATGTCCAGTTTTTGTAGTACTGAAAGCAGGGCAGTCTTAACAGCATTATGGGTGAAGCAGTGTACTGGGCCCCCTACGACAACTACAACTACTGTTAATTTTGGAAGTTTTCCAATTTTCCAAGGGTTAACATACACAGATTAGTATGGGCCCCATGGGCAAGTGCCCATCAGGCCCATGCGTTAAGATGGCCCTGACTGAAAGCCATCTTGCGAGGGCAGTTCAGTCTGTAAGGTACATTGAAAAGTACTTAAATACGAAGACAAAGGGCCAACATACCACAAGTCATGAATCTGAAACAAGCTCCAGATCAATCTTATCTTTAACCTAGGGACAGTAACCTAGAGCTCATTCATAACTCTCAACCACCGGCCCATGCCCAGTTCTCAGTCTCTCCTCACAGGACAGTGTTTCCAAACCCTGTATCATTTCTGTTGCCCTCCTCTGGACCCTTTCTAATTTTCCTGCGTTTTTCCTAAATCTTGGTGCTCAGAACTGGACACAGTATTGCAGATGAGGTCTCACTAGTGAGGAGTATAGAGAAACTACTACTACTCATGATTTGGAAGTAATACTTCTGTTAATGCATCCCAAAATAGCATTTGCCCTTTTGGCGGCTGCATCTCGTTATGGGCTCATGTTTAGCCCATTGTCCACAATCTGAGATCCTTTTTCAGTTCTGTTGAGCCATGTATTCCCCATCTTGTATTGATGCATTTGGTTTCTTTTTCCTAGGTGGAGAACTTGGCACTGTGCTTATTGAATCCCATTCTGTTGCTTTGGAAAGATAAGGCCAACTCTTTGTACTGATGCAACCGATTTATGTTGACATTTCTGATGTGCTGAACATAATCCTCAGTGCCCTCTGGGTGCTTTCGGTGACATAACTACCATAATCCCTAACCTTTGGCTACACTGGTTAAGGATTGTGGGATTTGTGATCCAGAGCATCTGGCATGCAGCAGGTTGCTTACCCCAAACTGGAAAATACCATGTATCATTTTAGCAGCAGAAAGAGACATACAGAAGTAATGCTGAAAGCTCTGTATATTTATGTAATACATACAGATCAACAATCTTGTGGCCCCTGGGCAGCATCTGAAGGACTGTGGGATCTCTTGGGTTCCCAGCTCTGAGATCAGGGAGAGCTGCCTAACCTCAGAGCTCTGACTACTCCCTTGCCTCTCTCTCTTACTTGATGTGGAAAAAACTGCATTGGCTGCCTCTCCAAA